GGGGGTCTTATTCTAACATACCCAAAGCCATATTCTATCTACTTAAGGGGGGCTATACCATGAGGCATTTGTATATTTTGAGCCCGAAGCCTTACGCTCAAGGCCCAAAAAACTTAACCCCGAAGACCCTACACCCTACAAACTCAAAATACAAGCCACAACCTCAAACCTCAAACCCACAAGATCTAGATCATGAAACATAAAGCCCATGGGAAGAGACCGGGAACTTTTGATGGGGCCTTGCCCTTCATCGAGGCATCCCACTTCTCCTGAAAAGTTTAACGGGATCACTACAATTCGTTTTGCTGGTTTAGGGTTTAGGGGGTTTCGGGGATATGGTTTGGGCACCTTGGAGACATCTATGGTTTAGGGTTTAGGGTTTAGGGCTAGGCCAGATCTACATTGCTTTGCTTCAGGTCAAGGGTTTAGGGGCTACATGCCCTCGAGTCCCGAATTCATTTGATAAAGGGCAAAACAAAATTCTTAAAGAAGATCCTCGCTTGGCAAGACAAAGACATGTATGGGCGTTCCAGATTTATGTTCTAGGGTTTCCTAAAACAGGAATAACCTCATTGACCTTCGGTCTGAGGTATAGACACTGGAAGTAGCCTTGAAACAGCTCACCCGAATGAAGATCCCCAACGTCCAGACACTAAACACAAAACCCCAAAACCCCAAGCTCTTCTTCGGCTACCTGGAGATCCAAGTTGACCATACGTAAAATCAGCTGTATCCTGTCTACCATAATTATGGCCAACTGGGATCTCCAGGTATATACCCTCTTCCAAACCAACACGGGAGCCCACGTGCCTTGTAAAAGGAGGACGCAGATTTTTAGGGAGCCCTTGGGCTTTCATGCTACTTCCGGGAAGTGCAAACCTTTTCAAACGTCGCTTAGAGATTTTTTGAGGCTAAGCCCTTTTGCATCTGGGCTCGCACACGGCCAGAGGCTAAACCCTTAACCCCAAACTCCTAAACTTAAACCCTTAACCCCAAAGCCCCAAACCTTTGACGCTTAATCCTAAACCCAAAAACCTTGAACCCTAAACCCGAACTGAAACCCCGGAACCCTTCACCACAAACAGTGTGGACCATGCTTCGGGACCCACGGCGACTTGGCGAGTAGGGTAGGTTATGGAGGGGGTTGTAAGGGTCTTTATATTTGTAGCCTACTTACTAAATCCCTTGAACCTTCAAGAAACCACCACCGCCGTCGGCTTTGCTGCTTCGCCAGCGTCAACGCCGAGCACGTTTCATTTGCAACGTTAGAGGAAACCCCGGGCGAGGTGCAATTTGAGGAGCCAGAAAAACTTCACGTAGACCCATAATGGCCAGAAGGGACCCTGGAAAATTCCCTGGGAACCACTATACAATCCCTGAGGGCCTTGTCCGCTTCATTCAAGACTGCTCCTTAAAGCGTACACGAGAATAATTTTACGTACTTTCCTGAATGAAAGCCTACTGGGCCAGACATGACAGTGTCTCAAAAGGGGGGGGGGGAGCAATACAGATGTCGAGAAAACGTGAGCCTTCCCCACTATAGGGACCAACAGAAAGGTACCCCTAACTACAGGAGACCCTAGACCCTAAACCCTAGATAACCCCGTATATAACCCGAAAAGGTATCCCTGATTCCAGAAAACCCCCGTATTTCTGTTCTTAACCAGGGATGGAGGGTCCGTCAAGCTAGCTACACTGCAGAACCTTGCAGAGCCGCCAGGTCCTGACGAACCAAGCGGTCCACAATGCGAAGCCTCACAATTCAAGAGCGCCACGTGGGGTGTTGACACAAATTGGGAAATCCATTTTCAATGCCTACACTACCTGCTGTATGCTTTTGGAGTACAATGGAGGGGATCCAATGTTGCAGATTGAGCGTGGAAAATCTTGCTTGCTGCTCATGGAACACCGTGAACTAGCTCACCAAGAACATGTGGGGCCGCGTGTTCTAAGTTTTAAGGTCTAGGGTGTGGAGTTTGTGGGCTTGGAGATTTAGGGATTTAGGGTCCAGGTGTTTAGGGGTGGAGTTTAGGCTTTAAAGATTTGGGGTTGTAGGGGTTTATGGTTGAGGCCTTAGGGATTTCACATTTGCAAAAGAAGCTCGCGTGCGCAATCCACAGACAGCCCGACATCATGTTGTGGGGCCATGAAGTACTCGATCAACGGTGCGAATCCTTTTGCGGCCTAGCATGAAGTCCCAAAAGCTTGTGAAGACTACCTCCGTTTGAAAGTGGGCGGCATGATGCGGCACGGGGTTCCGCATCAGTTGCGGATTGATAAGCCCTGAAAGCGATAAACCCTACGTTTCCCTGTGATCATGTAAAAGGGAAACCTGCCTTCCTGAACCCTCCCTACAGGCATATATCAAAATCTCATACGCACCTGCTCGATGATGTGGCGCTTGCTGTTCGGGCTCGTACTTTTGAGACGGCTACCCTTGGAAAACCTCAACCCTAAACCTTGAACCCTAAACCCTACAACCTTTGAAACCCTAAACCCTCAACCCTAAACCCTAATCCCTAAACCCTTAACCTTAATCCCTAAACCGTAAACCTCAAACCCTAAGCCCAAATCCCCAAACCCTGAAGCCTTGGACCTCCAAGCCCTGGGAGTCCCGGCCCCGACCACCGTTCCGTGGTGGAGATGCGCTCAGCTTCCTCCACCGCCTGCTTGGCCTCCTCCTTGGCTTGCGCCTGGGTGAAGGATTGAGTTTAGGGTTGAGGTGCTCAACTTTTTAGTCCAAAGCCATAACCCTGAATCCTCAGCCTACGTCCTAAAGCCTGTGTTGAAAACCTTGCCTAAAACCCAGAATCCCAGACCCTAAACCCTGAATGCTAAGCCTGAATCCTGGGCAATGAACCCTGAATCCTGCGCACTCAACCTTGAATCCTAAACTCCAATCCTAGACCCCCAAACCGGGCCTCCCTCAGACGCAGCGTTCGCTGGGCACAGAGGTCTTGAAGGCGGGCCTGCACGTCGCCAGAGCAATGCTTTTTGAGTTTGGGGATGAGGAAAAACTAAGGTTTAAGGTTAAGGGTTTAGGGAGGATCTGCAAAAGAAAGGTTTGGGGTTTAGGGTTTAGGGAGGATTTACAAAAACAAGGTTTAGGGTTTAGGGAGGTTTTAGGGGTTTTGTATTTAGGGTTGGGACATTCCCCCTTACAGCAGCTGTCGCGGAAAGTTAAATAGAACTAAGTTTAGGGTTGACAGTACAGGGCTTACAGGCTTCCGGACCTAAATAATTGGAGTATTGCTGTTGGGGCAAGTGGATCGCGAGAAGGGTTTAGGGCGGTGGGCCGCGGGGAAAGCACCCCCGTATATCTCCAGGGTCCTCTGAGAAAAACCCGTATTAAGTCTGCTTAAGGAGTACAAGGACATAACCACCCTTTAAACACCCACCCTACATCCTGCCGTGCCAAAGCTTCCCCCATTTTTTCCCGAGGTGCTCAACTCTGACCTCTCTGCCTCTGGGATGCCCCCGGCGCAGCACTACTGGCAGCTTCTCCCATAAAACCTCGAATTAACCCCAAACAAAACTTGATTCCCAGAAGGCCCAAAACTCCTTTCTGAAGGAATATGCCAACAATATACCCGAGACCACACCTGGAACCCTAATTTGTTTTCCAGTGCATTGTCTTAGTCAAGGGGTCCCGCGGGAGGTGTGGTAGGATAACCAATGAAGGACATTAGCGCTCCGCCCAACATCCTCAAACCATAACGGGCCAGGGTTTAGGGCTTGGCAAATGTTGTTGCATCGCCTCTTTTCACCCTAGTTTGGGGTTTGGGGTTGGGAAAAGGGTTCGGGGTTTTGGTGATTGTTCCATTAGGAGATTTTCGTGCACAGAGGGACCCAATTTAGACCCCAATATGGCATGGTCCTTGATATGATGACCCCGAAAAAAGGCATCCCACATTTTTAGAAACACAATTTCAATTCATGACCTCTGCTTTTTTGTTTCATGGAGTCGTGCTAGTGTGCTTCGGGTTTTTGCCACTTGCATGGCCATGACAGCATCGCAAGGTAACATGCCGGGTGAAGCACATCGCCCAGGACAAGGAGACAGCCGAAAAAGAGGCAGAGCCATGCATGGCACCAACCAGGACCCTAGCCGAAAAGCTTCGGGTTTAGGGTCCAAGGAAAGTCCCTCCTAATGGTCCATGGAAGCATACCTGCAAAGCTTCCGCCCTCTCAGGTGGTCGCTGTCATGTCATCAATTCTTCTTTCTTCTCCCTCTACTGCACCCACCACCCCTTGCAAGCTACAGACACCTGAATTTGAAAATGCTATTAAACTAAAGTCCTAGCATGACATCCCCTCGCCTAAGCCTGCATTCACAAGCCTGACACTAAACCGTCTACTGAAACACACACAGCCCCTGAACCCCTAACCCTGCACTTCCAACTAATCAGGGGATTTCAATTACCCCAACCCCCAAACGACGAACCCTATATTATCATATCTAGTTATATAGGTGCTTATTGTGGGGGCTGCCCTTATTACACAACATAAGCCCCCATATGGCCCCGGTTGCCATGTCATTTTTCATTTTGTTTTCCATTTGATTCTCCATTATTTCCAACCCAAAATCTCCTTAGTACCCACAATGGTGTGCCTTTCGGAGCTCACGCTCGGAAGCGCTCTGCGCTGTGCCCTCAACCTGCCGCTCTTGAAAGGAAATCTCATCGATCTCCTTCCCAATATTTAGGGTTGCGCGGGTCTCCCTAATACTAAACCCCCTATGCCCCTTATGAAACAGTAAGGGAATTCAATGATAGATCAGGTCATTCCCGCGTACAGCACGAATTTTTTTCAATAAGTAGTGGTGATGGTAGCACGCAAAGCTTATACTATCTGGGGTTTATATTGGGATATAATGGGTTATGCAGAGGAATGAAAGATCAGGCCTGTATATACGTACCCCATTTAGGGGTTGGTGTTTGGGGCTTAGCGGCGCACTAATGAGATTTCCAATTGTGTAGGCCTTTGTCGTTTCTTTTTGTTGGCAACTGCGGGGAAGGGTGCAGGTTGGGATCTAGGGTCGGAAGATGCAAAGAGGATTGGGTTGCAGGTGATAATTGTAGTTTCCATTATCCCTATATAATCCCAAATAACCCTAATATACCATAGTACTTGCCATTTTCTTTTCCATTATCCCAATGTAAGGGTTTGGAGTTTGGGCCTGGACCGTATGGGCCAGGAGGCTTGACAAGCTTTCCAGCTGGAGCTGCACTAGCAATGGAAGTCTGATGTAAGGGTCCCCTCATGCAGGATTCTGCCATGTAAGGGGCGATGCGGAGGTACCCGCAGGATGCAAGAGATGTGAGGACAGAAGGGTTTCTGCGGGCTTTACATATTATAGCAGTACCCTAAGCCTGGCACATGCCCACATGAAGTCCATGCAGTCGGCAGCTTGGAACCACTGCTAACAAAGAAAACGCTGAGAACAAATTGCAAACAAACAGAACCTTAAATTGAAGTGCTAGTGGTGTTCAATACCTTTTTCCAAAGTAGCCATACAGCAGATTCCCTTTTTGGTTAGGATTTCCCTTCACGAGAGCATTCCCCGTGCTCACTCCTTGCCACAAAATAGAACAACCCCCAAGTGAAGAAAGGACCTCATGGAACCCTACAAAGTTGCCCAAAGCAGCCCTATTCCTAGATATCCAAATAGCCCAAGGCAGGTAACACTTACAGACTTCAGGGCCAGTTTATGTGTGATTTGTATGCCTGGATCCCTGGTTTATCCAAAGAGCATACCCAGCTAGTTTGAGAGGCAACTTGCGAATCCGGATTAGGGTTGAGTGTCTGGCCCCACCTCAAAACGACTGGCTACTATATCGGCTATACTCTAAGCATAAAACAGCAACAGACAGCGGTCTACAGGAAGTGAAGCAAAACCTTACAACTTGAGAAGTTACTTGGCCGTTTCCGGACATTAGGGGTCCCTTTTTCGGGCCCCAGCAGTAAGGAATCTAGTGTTTCCCAATCTATTCTGGGGCTCCCTATTTATGGAAGCTACCACTTGTCCTGAAACGAAACCAAGCCTGAACATATATATATATATATATATGTATATAGATATTTATAAATGCACACACATATATATATATAAAACAGGTGCAGCAGCGCCTCCTTCGCCATGTGATGAGCTTCAGAAAGGTGCCATATATCCCTCCCCCAGTGCTGGCTGGATCATTGTTTCGGGCTTTGCCACTGGCAAGGCTTGGCGTGGGATCTAGGGCTTCAGTGTGCAGGCATAAAAATGGTGCTTGCCGTCAATCACCCCCGCGAACACTGACAATTGCTGCATCTGCTGCAGGAACTGGGGACATGTTGTTTGCACCCCTCAGTTTTGCTGTTGGCATGATGGCCTGCCGAACAGAGTTTGACAGTTGCCGCGTGGAGGAGTTGCGATGCCGGTGTCACATATGGATGGCAGCTACCGGCTGCTATGCCGCGCCTTGGGAACGCCAAACGGCTGCATGCACGCAAACAAAAACGTTAAAGCGGCATCATCCACCCTGGATTCAGGTGGGCATCCTCAGCGTTCTTAGCCAACATTTCCTCGGGGGAAGGGCCGAGTTTATCACGTGATCATCTAATCTCCATTTATGGTCAAAGATCTAGATCCGAGTGTGGAGCTCCCATCCTGCAATGTTCAATGAACCAAGGCAGGTCTAACAAACTCTAACATCAAGGAGATGGTTCACAGACCAGTCTCAGTGGTGCACAGTTAGAGACCCAAGTAAAATGAGTCACGTTATCAGTGGGGCGTCACAGACACTCGCTACTCAAGATTTGCAAGTTGGCAGCATCAACCTAGAAGGCGGAAGGGAGTTGAGGTTGCAAGCAAGGAGTTGGGGGTAGCTTGGAGGGCCAGGGAGACTCAGAAAGCTGAGTAGTAATGAGACGGGATATCCAGGAAAAGACTGTTCTATTTCTGGAATTGCTTTGCTTGTGCGGCAGGAATATCCTCCTTGGGTTGCAAAGTCTGCTAAAGACGCAGCCCATCATGGAAGGAGCATTTTCCAATTTTTGTCCTTGGTGCACGCAAACACCGGAATGTCGGCTTGCGTCCTAAGAGGCTTGGCCTCTGCCCTGTCCTACGATGTGGGACTGGGGAAGGCTCTAGGAGCTCGGAAACTCACGATGTCCTCCACGTGTTCTATACAAATGGAGGACTGCAGCTTAAATCGTAAATATTGCCGCGGAACAGGGCCAGGGACCCAAGCGTACAAGGAGCTTAGGGTGTAGAGTTTCAGGGATGCTCCAGCGTGTCGACATCAACGGCTTGCAGGGTCTCAAAAATCTATCGATGCACAAATGCCTTGCGCTACGTGGATACCCAGCACGGCTGGCAGGCTCTGCCTGTCCATGGGCAGGGCGCAAAAATCGCGACCTCCTTGAGAACGCAGCCAGCTAGCGGCAATCTGTTCATGAGGCTGGTGCCCACCCCTTTCGGGAACCCGCTAATGAAACCACCTAACCCAGACCCGTGATGAATGAACCCCCTCCCCTTAATAGGGATCATAACCAGGGATCCTTATATTAAGGCCCTTAAAAAGGAGGGGGTTCATTAATCATGGGTCTGCATTAGTGCTTCTGCAAGATGAGAATTAGCCAAAAAGCTCGGAGAGTGGAGAGCTTGGGGTTCAATGATGTGAGATCTGAGCCACTCTTGGTTCAGGGTTTATGCACTTCCCGTGGGTATGTACGACAGTCGCTTTCAATGTGCCCTCCTTGTGAAGAATGCAGCTTCTTGGGGGGTTTAGGGTTTGGGCATACACGTGGGGCCCAGTGTTGGTGCGTGTCCATGTTCAATTTTATACGGCTTATGATGTGGAAAATTGTGGAAATACAGCAGTTTCCACAAACATAATGGCCAAGAAAGTATGCCCGCAATGACCAGGGGTAAAGAATTGTCATAACTGTCTGTGTTAGGAAGCAACGGGCCAGAATTCAGGGCGTCGGAGCTTTGCCGCAGCCAATTGTTCAAGATTTAGGGTAGACAACACACCTTCTACATCCACTAGGGCAAGACTAGTCGCCACTCCCATTGCTTCTTGTGTAGTCATAGTACATACTGCACAACTTAACTGAATTTTTGGATGCCCATAACCGTGAGCAAACGGGGCACTTGCTAGTGCATGCTGGGCGCAGCTAGCCCCATTAGTCCGGTACGCTAAAACACCCTGGCACCCCAGCCCTATGAAACTTCGTGGTACTTGAGCTAGGCAGAAAGATGCAGCCCTGACCTGAACCCAAAGAGCCAGCGGCTTTGAAGCTTCGGAAGTTTTAAAAGATTTAGGGTAAATTGCTTAGGATAAGAGCTTCAGGAGTAAGGCTTAGGGCCAAAGGTCCAAGGTTCAGGGTGTGAGGGTTGAGTGTTTAGGGTTGAGAGCCAAATGTACTGTACTGTTGCTCGAACTGCTGTTATCTGCCTGCTGTCAGTTGGACATAGTACCATTGCGGATGATTCTGGTCTGGGCCAGTGATGCGGGGTGGATTGAAGGCTTTACTGTTGAGATAGTGGAAATTTATGGATGGGAGTTCAAGATTAGGGAAACAAACCCTAGACTTTGAACAATGTCTCTAGGACTCGTCCAGCTCAGGGGGCTTTGGGAATGTCGGGCACAAGGCCCGAAATTTGAAGATTTGGGACTTGGGGATGCAGGTGCTTGGTGTGTATGAGCTGAGGTCTCAGGAAATAATGGATTTTGGATTCAGCGTGGGAGGTCCAGGTCTGGGAATGTAGGGCTCTACTGGGGCTGAGGGACCTAAGGCGTTTAGGTGTGAGGTGGGTTCAGGCTGTACCGATCTGTGGCTCGTAGGTTTCGACGTCTAGGTTTCGGGGTCACAGGAACCTTGCAATTTTCATCTTGAAGCTGTGTAGGATTTAGGGTTTAGGACCTTTAGGACTTTAGGTGATACTGGACCTTGCGGATATGCGCTTGGCTTCACACATTGTAATCTGACATATCTGACAATCGCGCAGCCTGGCTCCCGGAAAGCGCCAGTTTCACACATGCAGGGCAAGGCATGAAAGGTCTCGAGTTTAGAAGTCAAGCTTCCTGTCACTTCTGCTGTGTAGGCATATTGCGAATCAATTGTGCCGGGGCTATGCAGGCGAACAAGAGAGTATGCAACATATGGATTCCAGGAAGTGGGTACATTTCGACAGACTAGCGAAATTTGGCATCCATCACGACAACTGTAGGACCATTTAGGTCCGAACCTGGCTAGAACTGGAGAGCTCTCTTACGCAGAGCTTTTTGCTGGTCCGTCAGGCCCTGCACGTACAATCCGAATCCCTGACACAAGATCCACAAGGCTAAATACGAAACCCAAAGGCATAAACTGCCAACATGCCATGCTAGAATCTGATCACGAAAAGGAAAACCCCCACATTGTTTCTACGCCTGAGAAAGAATGCCCAAAGCGGCTGCAGGAGAACTTCCCCAGCAACCGCGGTGAGTTGGCGCCGCAGGTCAGGTGCTGCAGAGAACAGAACAGTGCGAGGCTCCCTTGCAAAGTTGCACGACCAATTGCTAATGAGAAGAACGTGGGGGATGGGGCTACAGTATAGTGAGTCAGGCTTAGATTTATGCCAAGGGATGGCGATGACGGCAGACATGCAGATATAGCTGCATTGAAGAA